CGCCAAAAGCAATATTTCAAGTGCAATTGCAGACCCAGGCTAGAATCCAATTTACCGCTACACTGTTGCTTTGACTCAAAATATTTCCTTTGCCAAATTCACTGGAGGGTCCGATGACGAAGATTCTCCTTCTTGGAATTATTTCATTGTATCACACTTTTCCGTGGTCCCTGGCGTTGAAGATACGGACTTAAGTACGACAGGGAACTTGTAAATCAGTTTTCGATCTAGGCTTTGTCCTCACAATTCATCCGTGTTATTGTCAGGGAACTCTCACCGTTCGGAACGGTTTGGTTAGGTCCAAGCGTCGCTCCATAAATGCTGACCTTTGGTCAACTCGAAGGTCGTCAACTTCACCACATTCCGATCAACAAGAATATCACAACTCGGTGAAATTGACTTCCTTTGACTTGACTAGGGCCCGGCAGTAGCCGAGCCTTTGTGACGGTAGGAAGTGGCAAACGTGACGCTTACTTTTTTCATATACCGTACTATGATAATTGTTATCCGGAGTTCCCCCCCCCCCCACCCCATTTACCGCCCCTGACTGCTTACCCTATGAAACAACAAGGAGCCCCCAAAAACAGCAAATCAACGAGATAATCGACCATGGGGAATCGGGTATTGATAGTTTTGTGACAATTTCACCGGTGGATTTCAGCGCTTAATTGTCCGCATTCTGGAATGACGTGAAACTGTTCAGCTTTGGCTCTTCTTGGGTGCACCACTTTTGAAACTGCCGACGCTCATGAAGTTGGCGACGGTTGACTCCGGATATTCAGAGATGCATCTATCAACGAATTCCCATTTCGATGAACACGTATCAGATGGTCAATTGCAACTCAAGAACACTGAACCTGAAGTATGTTTTGCTACCCTTCTCATATCCTTTTAGAGGGGACCTCAGCTCAGCTGAGCTGGTGCGACCTCACGGGCTCCATCGGGATGAGGAGTGGCTCCAGCAGGAAGGGCGACACCGCATACGCCACGGGTTTCAATGGAATGATTCAATAGCCATTTCCCTGGAATTCACATCAGCTTTAGGCTGTCGTACTGTGGCATCTCACTCACCGGACCTATTGGCCCTGGATTTCATGCCGTAACAACTTAACGCCACCTTCAGATTTCAAATGGAAAGCATCACCGTGTGCAATCGACCGGACAATCTAGTACCTACCGCAGCCTCAGCTGTTGCGCATCTTGGACCACTCGGAGGCCCATCTGGAACACCTTTCGTTTTCACGATTTGAAGTGTGCGCGAACATCGACTATTGCTGTCGCCAATCATCTTTAAAAACTGCCGCTCACGGATTACATTGCTCGTTATCTCAAAACAGGTTATTTAGCAATGACCAAACATCTGCAGACAGACTGGTCTTACCAAGGAAGGTGTTCGCATAATGAAATATTGGGTACCTACAATATAATATTTATAAAAAATGAGAATGATACTAATCGTGATGAGCCTAGGCATATAGTGCATCAATAGTTGGGAAATTTTCTGCATTTGTTTGGCAGTTTAGCATTCAATCGGGCACCTTATTTGTGCCCACCTGTATTGCGGGGGCTCAGAGCAGCATTGCGGAAGAGGTAAAAGTCAGTATCGGTGGGATCAGACCGCCCACCCCCTCCCAAAGGATATAAAACGACGACGTTTCAGATAATTATGGGCTGCATTCAAGGCTATCGGTGCATCAATTGTTATTGATCTTGTGATAATCGCAAGGGTCGGTCGTGAAAACTGTACTGTCTTCAGATAAAACGTTTAGAATTTGACAAGACTTACGGTTTTTAGTCCACCCTAGTGTCGTAACTTTAATTTTTTGAAATGCAGAATGAAATAAACTACGATGATCGAGCGTTAAGGTTTTGTGACCACTGTACGGCAAAATAGTTGTTTACGGCAAGGTGTTGGAAACTTGACGAAACTGGAAATATTTGAGCTAACTCAGGGCCACTATTTCGAAACTACACGAGGTACTCGACTATAATGCATAACGTACTGAAGCTTCTGTTGCAATCTAAAGAACATGGTTTAAGGACTGTGTAGTACGCATGCAAGAGTCTTGAATGCAGTAAAATTGACACCACCGTAATGGGTGGAGAAGTAGAGATGCACACCGTCACACCATTTCACACTGGCGACTCGTCGCAACATAAATCCTTCATAAAGTTTATACGGGTGTCTTTGTTTGGCCAGGATGGCCATGACCGGTTCATTGTAGAGTACAAACGCTCCTGAAATGTGTGTGTGTGTGTGTGTGTGTGTGTGTGTGTGTGTGTGTGTGTGTGTGTGTGTGTGTGTGTGTGTGTGTGTGTGTGTGTGTGTGTGTGTGTGTGTGTGTGTGTGTGTGTGTGTGTGTGTGTGTGTGTGTGTGTGTGTGTGTGTGTGTGTGTGTGTGTGTGTGTGTGTGTGTGTGTGTGTGTGTGTGTGTGTGTGTGTGTGTGTGTGTGTGTGTGTGTGTGTGTGTGTGTGTGTGTGTGTGTGTGTGTGTGTGTGTGTGTGTGTGTGTGTGTGTGTGTGTGTGTGTGTGTGTGTGTGTGTGTGTGTGTGTGTGTGTGTGTGTGTGTGTGTGTGTGTGTGTGTTCAAAATGCATGTAAATATCACACGAGTGTACTGACTTTTTTCGTTTACAACGAGCCGGTCATAGCAATCCTGACCAAACAAAGGCATTCGTACAAACTTTACGAGAGATTTACGAAGGATGGTGACGAGTCGGGACAAGTCTTTCTTTCCAAGTAGCTACAGGCAGTGAGTATAATGTGGAGCGGAAGCGACAGCAGCAGTCACATTGCGCCAAGCATAAGCAAAGCCCTCAATGAATTAGAGAAGATCTAGACATTATCCGATGAGTACATAACGCATCCAACTTGTCAGTGTTCAATCCTAGTAAATGCCTGCCCAAAGTGCAAGACGTCTTTAGTGGCTTGTCCAGGCTCCATCCAAAACAGGTTCAAAATGCATAAATCACGAAACCAGCTTCATTCAATCATCTTGTAGGCACCTGTTCCGTGCCACACCCTGGCTAATATCCTGAGCGGCCTCATGGATATGAACAACCTGTCTATTCCCTGAAGTCGCAAATCAATTTGCTGCGATGATCAAACTGAAAAAACCGAAACCAGTTGGAACAAACACCAGTGAGGGGCAGCATGGGTTTTTATGATATTGTGTGCTTCAATGAATGTAAGCCGTAATGCGCAACATAAATCGTCCGCAGAAACTGCAACATGGAGACTGAAGGGACTGTACCACATTTATTAGCTTTTGAGCGGAGATAATCATGTTTAACATCATTTCCTGCAGCTCACATTTGTGCCCCTTGTAAAACATCCCGGTCTCTTGAATCTAAGCTTTGACAAACGCGAACTTCGGCGACTTCTTTTGCGTCGCTTATTTGAAAGGCAATCAAGCATGCATGATCTCATAGGAACACCTAAAAGTTCGCCCTGTCTCAAAAATCCTCTCATAGCAATCATTTGGTAAAGTCTTTCAGTCCCTCCTTTTATCTCCCTTCAGATAGGTATATACCGTTCAGCTGATGATCGCTGGCGTGCGCCGGGTCCGCCCGACGTGTCGTTCCAGCTGGCTGCAGCCGGACCGGAATGCAGCGGCTATCTGCGGCCTCCAGGGCTGTGCCAGGACCGGTGCCCGCCGGCCGGCTGGACGGCATCAGGTCGGCGGCGGACCGTGTCGACGGCCTGCGTCTCCCGGCGCCGCGCGGCCCGACGCTGGCGCTGCAGAGACGGCGCCAGCCCGCCTCACCGGCCGGCGCAGGACCACTGCTCCTGCCCACAGCCCCACCCCGTCGGCCCAGGAGGCGGTGCCAGCCCGCCTCACCAGCCGGCGCAGGACCACTGCTCCCCCCCCCCCCCCACAGGCCCACCCCGTCGGCCCAGGAGACGGTGCCAGCCCGCCTCACCGGCCGGCGCAGGACCACTGGTCCCGCCCACAGGCCCACCCCGTCGGCCCAGGAGACGGTGCCAGCCCGCCTCACCGGCCGGCGCAGGACCGCTGCTCCTGCCCACAGGCCCACCCCGTCGGCCCAGGAGGCGGTGCCAGCCCGCCTCACCGGCCGGCGCAGGACCACTGGTCCCGCCCACAGGCCCACCCCGTCGGCCCAGGAGACGGTGCCAGCCCGCCTCACCGGCCGGCGCAGGACCGCTGCTCCTGCCCACAGGCCCACCCCGTCGGCCCAGGAGGCGGTGCCAGCCCGCCTCACCGGCCGGCGCAGGACCGCTGCTCCTGCCCACAGGCCCACCCCGTCGGCCCAGGAGACGGCGCCAGCCCGCCTCACCGGCCGGCGCAGGACCGCTGCTCCCCCCCCCCCCCCCCACAACCCCACCCCGTCGGCCCAGGAGACGGTGCCAGCCCGCCTCACCGGCCGGCGCAGGACCACTGCTCCTGCCCACAGGCCCACCCCGTCGGCCCAGGAGACGGTGCCAGCCCGCCGGCCGGCGTAGGACCACAGCTCCGGCCCATGGACGTCATCATTGGGTATCGTCTTCAGCAGTTGCAATATTTTGTCATCAGCGACGGCTTAATGGCATCAGCAAAGCGCATTATTGTGGCATAGTGCCATGGCTAAAGTTTTTGTCATCAGCAGTGTCATTCTCATGAATGTCTGTCAACAGCAGCGGCTTCGTTTTCAACAACGCATCTAGTCTCAGCAAGGGTGTTGTTCTCAGCAGCAGCAGTGGTCATGCCAGCAATAAAGAACATCTTCACATTTTGCGTTTCGTGCGGCGATAGTTTGCCGCGTTTTGAGACCACCAGTAAGCCGTGCGATGACAGCCGCCGCCGGCCTGGAGCCAGCGTGCCTGTTTCTCAGGCTTGACTGGATCGATCTCGTCAGGGCGGGTGCTGCAGTGGTCCGGCACCCTATAACCATATCAATGTGTTTATTTATGTCGGCCGGTATGCCGGGAGCGGGACGAGCAGCCTCGAGCGCTGCCCACGCCCTGCGCAGCCGGACGCCCTCCCCCACTCGCCGTCCGTGTGCCCCCCGGAGCCGGCTGGACGCGGTGCTCGCGCGCAGACCCATCATGAGGTCGGTGCTGGCGGTGCTGGTGCTGGCGGTGGTGGCTGGCGCGCAGCAGGCGGCAGGTGGGTGGACAGGCGCAGCGGGTGACGGACAGGTGGAACCGACACGAATCGGAAGCCGGCACCGACAGGTTGAATAATCCTGTACCGTCAGGCGAGCGCGGTGTGGAGGGCCAGTGACACCCTACAGGCATCGGTGGAGATGGACAGCTCACACCAAGTCGTTCAAACCGTGCACGCTAGTCATATCGGTTCCTAAAGAAGGGACTCCGTGCCCAAAAAGCACACATGTGCCTGATTTGGATAAACAGGATCCTGGGACCAGTTCCCTTAGCTCTGGATTCAGTACTTTCTGGAATCTAGGATCCATTTGGCCATTTGTCGAAGAATGTCCTGGGATGCAGGAACCATTTTACAATTCAGCCGAGGAATCGTCAGTGATCTTAAATACTTTCAGTAATTTCACAGGGAAGAGAAATGGTTCTCCTGGTCGAAAGCAGGGCCTCCTAATTCGCAAAGGAGGCACTGCCTTTGCAAACGACCTCCTTTTGCCCGACTTTGCAAACGACTTGCTTTTCCTGATAAAGAACCTTGTACGTGAAACCATGAGCCTCCTAATCAATTAAAGGGCCTCTGATCTATAAATGCGGTGTCTTAATGTAGATAAGGGTCCTCACGACCTTTCAAAGGGCCTCCGCACCTCAAAAAGGCCTCGAGTCCAAAAAGGGCTTCTTAGAACAAAAATCGTATTCGTAATCCATAACAGCAGCGCTTGATTTGATCGGGGAATTTTTGATCCAATACAGGACATCCTTATTCCATGACGGTATTCCACCACCCATGACTGGCGCTACCCGAGCAGTGTCTGCAGTGGAACGCCGTAAAGCTAGAAGCACATTTAAGGGTAAATACTTGCCTGTTTGGACAAAATGAAAGCTGGTACATTTACCGACATCCGCCGACTTGCATCTCCCCGGTGGCCTGTTACTTTCCTGTTTTGGATAAAATGAAAGCTGGCACATTTGCCGACATCCGCCAACTTGCCTCTCCCCTGTAGCCTGGGCATCTAGGATGGCGCCAGTATGGTGGCGATAGCAGTTGTAGCGAATAATTGAATTTAAAGGGAATGTTTCACATTTGAAGATGCTGAAGCAAGTGTCAGATATGATGCAACAAGCTCGCTTATATACTGGTATACTCATAACTATGGTAACTATTGGTATACTTTTTAAATGGAAAAGACTACTCTAGGCAGCACAGTTCTTTGTGTAGTGCATATGCTCCTCAATGCGCTATGTTTTTTATTGCATCGTCCTACCCTGTACGACATTGATTGAAAGCCAGCTGACGGCCGTCATACCTGGCAATGGCGTTCACGAAAGCCAAATATGAACGCTTCGACGATTACACTTTTTGGCCTTGATCGCTGCATGGCTTATGGAATGGTAGGGTTTGAATGACATTATTACGACGTTGTGAATGCCAAGGTGACTTTGAAATACTCTCTCCGATATACCTTTCCCGATTTTCGCGGGCGTATTGCTCAGAAACTACAGACGCTTAGGTCTTAAGTAGAGCAAGATTGGGGAGAGCACTGAAAGGTCTTCAAGACGGTTATTTCAGTTCAAGCCCCCATATAAATGTGGAACACCCCCTGCAAAGCTCGTATCGTTCATTTGACCCCAAAACATGAAGTCGAATGAACAGCCTCAAGTTTTACTGTTGAATGCATACAAATTGGCTATCAACAAACAGGATATTCTGCTGATACAAGCGTTAAGAAAGCGCTGGTTCGGGTGGTAGGACCAAGTTCGAGGGGCTTAACACACAACCACAGTAGGCATGCACTGCATTAGCTTTGTAAATGGGGCACAACAGATAAATCCCCAACTTTTGCCGATTTGCCATTGTTCCTCTGGCGTTGCATGGAAACCTACCAAAATCTCGATTCGACCCTGCGCTACGTCTGACGAGGGGCTGACCCACTAAAAAGGCAAGACTGTCTTTTCATAATGCAAGATTTTCTTTTCATGAGACCAGATTCTCATTTCATAAGGCAAGATCGTCCTTCCATAAGGCAAGATTCTCTTTTAATAAGGCAAGAGTCCCCTCACAAGGCAATATTCTTTTTTCATACGTCACGGTACTCTACAAGCCACTAGAGCTGCTGACAACGTGGGAGCAGTTATTGACTGTACTGAGTAATGGCAATCGATTGTCTTTCGCCATCATGCCTCGGGAACCAATCAGGTTCATTTCGCCGTGATGGCTCGCGAACCCAGCAGGTTCCTTTCGCCGTGATGGCTCGCGAACCAATCATGTTCATTCCGCCGTGATGGCTTGCGAACCAATCAGGTTCATTCCGCCGTGATGCCTCGGGAACCAGTCAGGCTCATCTCGCCGTGATGGCTCGCGAACCAATCAGGTTCCTTTCGCCGTGATGGCTCGCGAACCCAGCAGGTTCCTGGCATATGGTAGTAGGCGACCAGCGGATTTTGGTGCTATTAGTCTGGAGTAGGAACTAAAGTCGGTTCGGCTGCTTGGTCAGACCACCTCAACCAGGACCAACGAATGACTTGGCATGACACGCGCCTAGGGTAGGTGTGATGTCCGCTACAAGCAGGGCCTAAAGCGACGTGATAAAACATAAACGGGCCGGTACATGCGCTGTGACCAGTCATCGGTCACAGCGCATAGGACGTACAACACGAACAGGAAAGCACCAGCGCTACAACCAGATCTTCCATCAGAGCGTATCTTAAATGGGTTATACAGAACCAGGCTGAGCTCCTGACTGAAATGAATATTTCACGCACATGACGGCAACACTAACGATTGCCACAGTTTTATCTGGTCTCCTGGTGGGAATCCAGCCTGTGATGCGTCACGCCGACAAACACGTTGGCGATGTCCAGTCATCAGAGGAGCTCGCACCGTTCGACGCCGCACTGGGCTGCCGAACGGCTGGGTACGCCGCAGACGATCCCGGTCGTCTGACGTGTGCTCCAGCGGGGGACGTCACACGAGCCTCGTGAAATCACCCGATGAAATCACGACCAGTCAGGTCGGTGTTTATTCTTGGCAAAGCAGAAACTACCGTGCCTGACGGCGATGGACTTCAGTGCCAACGCTTATTAAACATGCTCCTGCTCTGATGTTGTCACACATCGACTTACGGACGGCCTAATACCGCACACACTTCACCGTTGCGTGAATGTAACTGGAAAGCGACGGGATGGCTCTAAACCAAATAATGCGCTGAAGCGTTTTGGGAAATCGCAGATAAAACACACCGACGCACAATAAACAAATACCCTCAACGCGGTAAAGCAAAACAGCCTTCAGCGACACTCCATATAGTTACTGGGGTGCCTAAGGGCTATCGCCGGCCTAGACATGGGTTGGTGAGCTGGCACGATTCTACAGGCACGATTCTACACGACATGACACGATTCCGCACGACAGCACGATTTTGCACGACACGGCACGATTCTGCACGACACGGTACGATTCTGCACCACACGGCACGCTTCTACACGGGACGGCACGATTCTACACGGCACGGCAAGATTTTGCTAGACAAACCATGCCTTTTTGTGTCCTGTGCAAAGCTCTGAGAGCGACAGTACGTGACCTGAATGTTTTATTCAAAGATTTTGTTAATTTTTGTCCATGTTGTAATACAGTGTTCCGGAGCGCAGATAACCAGAGCTTTCGATCGCCGTTTTAGTTCTTCCGGTCCAATGAATGGATCTTAAGATACCAGCGGGTTACTTTTAACCATCCGGGCGGTCGTGGATGTGTGATACCCTAGGTGATGTCGGCTTTAGATGCAGTGCAACTCATTTGTTCACTTTTGATGATGCAAATAGTTACTATGCATCAGCGTTAGTGCCTCACTTTTCCATTACTGTGGGTGAAACACACATGATTTCGCCTTACAACACAAAATTAAATATTACCGGAAGTGAATAATTAGCTGTTTCTGAGGAGCAGTGAAGTCACATATCTGGCTACATTTTACACCTATGGGCGCATCTAAATGTAATAGTTGGCACATGTTGGCACATGTTTCATACCTATTGGTTACGATTATTGACTTTAGACCAGCCGTGACCCCTCCGTTCCTGCTACCTAACCAATGGATTTCTGAGGTTATAAGTACATATCTCTGTGACATGTCCATGCCCTTCCAATGGATCACATCCGGCAACTACCCTGTCCATTAAAGCAGACTTGTGCTCATATCTGACAGCCCGACCAGCCATTCTGGTCTGCTCATAAGCAGCATGGCAGAATTGGTTGCCGCTAACGGAACGTAAGTCACCGCCTTCTTGTCAAATAATCGAGCATTATTTTACCACGACAGGTGAAAAGGCGCCCCGAAAGCCAGCCACGCCATGCGTAAATGCCGTCCAAACCCATCTAGCATGCGGCGAGATTGCTAGTCCAATAACAATAAATCTGAGACCAATAGGGTAACTGGGATTTATGCAAACACCGTGCTCTGAGATGCCCCTATTCATTTTAGTCCAAAAAACCTCATCATCCACCTCAACTATGTGCTGTGTATTTCAAAACCTCTGCCCGAAAAATTACAACTATCAGTTGAGCGAATGGTTAAACATATTCTAAGTTTGACATTTATGCAGAATTAGCATGCGACAGCTGCTTTCGTGTTGTCAGTGTTTTCAGCACAGGTTTGAGCGGCTTACACCATGTCATCTGGCCGTTAAGCGCCGACTCACATTTGTGTACATACCTAGCCTTCTGTCAGCAGCGTGACCTTCGGTTGCCGGCAGATGGTCGGCCCAGTCGGCGCTGCGGTCTAGACGAGGCCACGTGCGGGGACGGCACCTGCATCAACGCGGACTACATCTGCGATGGGCGACAGGACTGTCCGGATGGCTCCGACGAGAACAGATGCAGTGAGCACCACGCGATGGCTTACACCAAATCAGACCAAATCGGCCCCACGAGCGCGTGACGACTCAGACTATCATAGGTACAGCGTGCTTCATTGAGAACTGTCATGGTTTAAGCAAGAGGTTTGCAGTACGTTTTGGAGAAACAGCACAGGATGTTTGGTCGAGTGCACAAACAGTGAACAGTGATATCCACCGAAAGCGCAAGGTCCACATACGTCAGCCGTCGTACGTTTTTATTCACATTTATTGTCAGCATCGCCCAGCCTAGTCAGCGGAGTCCTTGCTGGCTAAAACCGCTTTATGAAATATAAATCATTAAACAAAAAATAGTTGTCCTCCGGCCAGCAGTGTTGCGAAACACATCAGGACAAGCGTATTCCTTTTATTTACTCATTTTGGTGGCACAGGCCACATAGTTTTACGGGCTCTGCGTACTCATCATTACCATCTTGAGTAGAACTTTTCCTTTTGGGTCATTTGCATACGCTGAGGCCCAAAAGGTTGTAGGTGGTAGTTTGGCCTCATGAGACTTATCAATGATTTATAACGTCATTATTTTATTTCCAGTTCTAGCAAAATTGTGAGATGAAGTGCACCAACTAAAAAGCATTGCTAAGCATGGATGAAACCGACAGAGCGCAATTAAAAACAAACGGGGCATGTATTTCCAGGTGTACTTCTTTGTGTACTACCTAGTGTACTGCCTCATGTACTGCTGACAGCGACCTCACACCTCGTTTACTTCCGACTACGACGGGTCGGAGCCACTCAGTAGTGGTAGGATTCCATAGAGCATTGAACTGGCATACACGTGGTGTGAAGCGCTGGGTCACACGTGCCACGCGTCACGCTGACGCGAGTTGGCAAATATATGTTGCCATTTTGGACATCTCTCCCCTTTTGCTCCGTATCTCTAGTGCACGGAGCAACTCAAGAATGTCATGCTTCAAATTGAGAATCTAATAACAAACCGCGTCGTGTCAAGGGCAAGATCGCGCAGGCCACGTGTCACGACGACATGCTACGGTAAGATGGCTTTAGTTATTCTTGACGGGCTTACCTGTTTTGTGTCACACTTCTGCACCCAAAACACGGAGCCACTCGGGATTGGCATGCTTCGATAGAGAGTCAAATTGACAATCACGTGGTGCAAATTGACAATCACGTGGTGCAAATTGACGATCACGTGGCGCGAATTCTGACGTCGCGCGTGCCATGTGGCCGGCGTACACGAGCTGGCAACGCAGATTTGGCCGTTGTTGACTCTTTTTCACGTTTTGTGCCAAGCCTCTACATTCAGAGCAGCTCGAGACGTGAATCCAACTGCATGACATAGATAATCAAATGCCTACATTTTCGAAAGAGCGCAGCCAAGCAAGCGTGCAAATGCGTGCAAAAGTCTGCGCAAAAACCCACCCACAGCAGTTTGATATGGACGGTGGGAAGGAAGGTCAGCATCCAGTGCTGTGTTTGTGTCAAAGCTTTAAGGGATTTACGCCATGATGCTACACTAAAAAACTGACTTGCGAAAAAAGTTCACCCTTCGGCGCCACGTTTGCCTCCCATGGACCAATACCACAACGTTTGCCCGGTGGTGGGCAGATGCCTAAGAAAAGGCCTCTAGATTGGCAGAAGACTCCCATGTGTTCAATATTTGTGTGACTAATCGTCATGCGTGGTCACGATTGATTTGTAAAACAAAGTAGGCGAAGCCGTTGGCCAAAGGCCGATGAGTCCTACTTCTATGTTTACTATTTGTGTAAGGTGCCTCTGTCTGCCTGTCTGTCTACCTTTTCTGTCTTTTTTCATTGAACTCGTGTGCAGGTCAAGCAGATAGAGATACGGGGCTGAACTTCGCAAACGATGCACATGCGCATGAGGCGGTTTTCCACATAAGGTTCAAGTCGTTGCGGTCCAGGTTTCGGGTGTGCCACGTACCAAAAGTAGCGTCTCTAGGTCCGCTGGTTTGCATAAGAAACACTTGGATATGTGACCTACGGGAAACGGGCGAGCAGCCGTTCGAAACTGCGGCCATATTTCCAACAGTGAAAGGTCGGAAAGACACCAAACCGGTACCGTTCGAAAGGCCGTTGAACGGGGAATCGCTCGAGTCGCGTGCGTGATTGCACGTGCCCCGCGTGATGCGCGCAAAAGCGTTCAAGAACAATTTGGCCTTTTCGACGTGTTTCACGTTTTGAGTCACAGCTCGGCAGCCAGAGCCGGTGGAAGCGTGAATCCAGCTTTTAAACGTCAACCAACGTACTGCCTGCATTACGCGTGGGGAACACGAGGTTGAGCGACGCACGGTTGCGCCAGTAATAGTCGGACAAGCCGGAAACGTCGGCATTTGGAAGATCAGAGCCGAATACAACATGCTGTCGTCGAAGCTGTCGCCGAGTCGAGAGTAAATTTATATCCCCGCATTCGCCGACTCATGTCCTGCATGTACCAACCATTTATTCGTTAGTCTGTGGAATATCTCGTTTAAATATCAACTTTACCCAGAGGGTTGCAAGCTCTCCTTTTTGTGACGCCAAAATGCCACCGCTCGATTGTTGTCCTTCAAGTCAATACCACCGCTCGATTGTTGTCCTTCAAGTCAATACCACCGCTCGATTGTTGTCCTTCAGGTCAATACCACCGCTCGATTGTTGCCCTTCAGGTCAATACTATTGCTCAGAGTGCTCGGTTGCTCAGATAGTACCGTTTCTATACCCTTGGCTCAGTCCCCGCCGCATTTTTTTTAAAGCAAAATGTTGGAATGCGCACGTGCTGTGTGTGAGGTGGATCTAGCGGTAGCTCATTCAACTACCGTTTATTCATTGGTGTCGGACATACAGGCATGCCAAATGGAGAACAGAATACACAAATGCAGCCATTTGCGTGGAAAATTAAAAAGAACAGATACGCATATCAAGTTCTCAATGGGCTGCAATGTATTCATGAAAATGCAGCCCTGCAATGCGATATTGCAGCCGAGTGCGGCGAGTGCGGCGCATGGAGACGCAGCTAACTGACTTGCCTTGTACTCAGGAGAACTCGATGAGCCGCTCAGTGCACACACGTCCTGCTGTGATGCGTACTTGAGCCACCGTTGCTGGACCGCTTTTTATCACTCGGCAGGGTAGCGTCATGGCCAGCAGCATGCCATACCAAAATGGCAGGGTAGCGTCATGGCCAGCAGCATGTCATACCAAAATGACAGGGTAGCGTCATGGCCAGCAGCATGTCATACCGAAACCCAAATGTCTGATGGCTGTGAATAACGGTGAGCATTTGACTTTTCACATGCAAAGCGGTACATACCTACCTTTGTACATGTAGAGATCAGAACCACGACCGAGGGGCAATGTGCGGAACTTCGCGTGCAGCTCAGCTCACAGCGTGAAATCTCTACTCCTAGGCGGCCAACGAAATTGAGCAGCGAAATCGTCCAAGTGGCAAGAAGCCATGACGAGCGCCGTGCTCAATCAAGAATAAAGAGCGAGCGCGAAGTTAACTTGTCCATTTTACTATGCATAGCCACGCTTCTACCTTTGTGGAGAGCGCATGGCGTGCAAGCGCTAAACCAGTGTGGTACTAATTTGGCCATTTTACTTCTACACATGCTCTTAATGTTTATGCAGTGCGCACATTCCGGAAACAGCCAAACACTTCTGGACGCATGCTTCTGCCTGCTCCGTACGGCCAAAGGCAGGCTGATCCCTTGCCTGTGAAATATTTACAAGGCATCTATGTTGAATACGTAAAAGGAAAGGTGGCTTCGAATCGGTGAATATCTGTCGTGTCGTCGAGAAGAGCCGCTGACGGCCAATAACCCATCCCAAAGAAAGAAGAATTTACACTTAATCATGAACACACTAATTGTGCGCAAATGGGGAAATAAGTAAACATCGACACAAAATGATACGAAACTTTGCGCCAAACCGACACATCACACTCACTACAGACACAAGCGAAGCCCACGCCCAGAAAGGTTGTGCCCAACAGCGCTTTCTTTTGCAGGCACTCGCGACGAGTGTGAGCCGAACGAGATGCAGTGCGATAACCGCATCTGCGTGATGAAGCATTGGCGCTGCGACGGCGACAACGACTGTGGCGACAACTCGGACGAGCAGAACTGTGGCGGCCCGCCGCCAGGTGAGGTGTTCGGGACTGAGGTGACCCACCGACAGGTGAAATAGATGAAACTGTGGTGACCCGGTCCCAGGTCGGACAAGCGGGACTGTGGTGACCCGGTCCCAGGTCGGACAAGCGGGACTGTGGTGATCCGCCCCCAGGTGAGGTGTTCGGGACTGAGGTGACCCACCGACAGGTGAAATAGATGAGACTGTGGTGACCCGGTCCCAGGTCGGACAAGCGGGACTGTGGTGACCCGGTCCCAGGTCGGACAAGTGGGACTGTGGTGATCCGCCCCAGGTGAGGTGTTCGGGACCGTGGCGACCCACCAACAGGTAAAACGGACGAGACTTTGGAGACCCGCATCCAGACCAGACGCAAAGGACTGTGGTACCTGCCCCCCCCGCGGGGTCAGACGAGTGGGACTGTGGTGACCCACCCCCGAGTCAGACAAGCGGGACTGTGGTGACCCGCTCCCAGGTCAGACGGGCGGGACTGTAGTGACCTGCTCCCAGGTCAAACAAGCGGGACTGTGGTGACCCGGTCCCAGGTCAAACAAGCGGGACTGTGGTGACCCACCGACGGGTGAAACGGACGAGACTGGTGACCCACTCTCAGAAAAACAATGGGATTGTGGTGACCCGCTGACAGGTCAGACGATCCACACATAGGGGGATCCGCATCACACGTCACGTGTTAGGCAAAAGTCTCAGTAGAGAATATCGCAGATGACCTGTAGTTGAGGCAGCCCAGTGAGGTGGATATCATGTCTGAAGGCAGACGCACACCGCCCATGTGCAGCACATTTCAGATGACAAATGACGATTTCATTGCGGGTGAAACAATGTAATCGCTGGTAATAATACAACAAACTATGCCGATCCACGACTGTGTAATAAAGCGTACCTTCAGAACGTAATCAAAGCAGCCTTATCTTAGCGCGCAACGCTTACTCCCACTCTCAACAAAACCGCGCAAATAACTCCACCATTGCGAGTGAGGGCCCCCTTCTGTGTGCTCGGCAGGCTCTGACTGCTCGGCCAGCGAGTTCCAGTGCGTCGACAGCAGCGGCGCGGCCCGGCAGCAGTGCGTGCCGCGCACGTTCCAGTGTGACGGTCGCGCCGACTGCCAGGACGGCAGCGACGAGTTCGGCTGCGGTCAGTCACGCTCACACGCGTCCAGGCACATATGTCGATGGAGAGAGACTTCGTTCCAGCACCTGACTTGCAGCACCAGCGCCCTTCTTCGTCTCAGCACCCGACTGAGTCCTCCAACTTGATATGCAGCCCACCCAACTTTTAGAAGATAGGCTCAGAGAATTCAAGCATTACGCACGTAACAAATGCACATAGAAATCAACGAATAGCATATGCAAGATCACATATGACCTCCCATGTGTATCAGTTGTTTTAAGCAATGAGTGCACACCCATAGCGTTATACGCTGCCCAGAAAAACCTAATTCATAGCTGAAAGGCATTTCGGACGAGATCACGAGCACCACCCACTAAAAAAAAAACATTGACCACACTATTCCAAAAAAACCTTTATATGCTAAATGGGTTATGGATTCATGTAGACAAAAGTTTTCTCAGGGTCTCAAATGCCTCGTTTCGTCCAAATTGTTGTAAATTTTGACCGAATTCCTCAAAATTTGTTAGATATCTAACGTTCATTCAGTGCCCTTTTAATGTAATATTTTTTTTCATCTGATGCCCTTTTCATGTCCTTCTACCTATTGCTCTGATATCCTGACTCCCGGGAGGGAGAGAATTTGGCACCGTGGCTCTCCTTCGCTACTTGGCTGTTAGAATTTGACCGAATGATCTGCTGCAAAATGCAATTTCCTTAGAGGAGCTCCTGCTCTACTCAAGTATGAACGTGTAGGATCAGGGAGCTAGAATTGCTTTTGAACTAGGATGGGAGTGAAAAATTCCATCTAAAAAAGACCGTGCAGGAGTGAAAAGATCAATTCACAAAAGATGGAACTTAAGAGCTCGTGACTGATGCTTCAGCAAACAAAGACATCTATTTCAAGTTGGCATGGAGCTAATATCATAAACCTGACAAAGGTTTTGGGTTTTTAGCATCTTAAGCCGTTAAAGTAAAACAGAATACATTAAAGCATAGCAATTTCATGACAGTGTAATGAGCATACACAGTTATTGACACCAATAATTTGATGGTGTACTTTGCACTTCCCTTCCACAGCACTTTAACACAAAATAAAGCAAAGGAATTCAATAACAAAATAACAGAAAATTTAACAAGCATAAAACACTCAAACAAAAAGAAATCTTAGAATCTTACACATCAGCCCATCACCAAGTCAAACACAATAGACATACCCCTGGCTTTTGTTAAGATGGAGTCAGGGAAAACAAACATTTTGTCACTGTTTCTTACCAATGCTTACCAAAAAATACAAAAAAATACCAATGCTCATTCCATGAAAGTAGCCTAACTATGCCTAACGTAAAAAGGCCTTACTTCATCTCATCCTGCCTAACCTGTTTGTATCACAGCAGCAGTTGTGGGTTACTGATTCTTGCACAATTCCTATTGCCACTTGCCATGCACTCAACCAACTTGACCTATCTTAGAGTAGCCCATATGCTGTACATCATCTCCATTCACCTATCTTGACAGCAGCACTTGTGATAAAAGCATGACGTAACTGAATGGTGGCTGGTTGCAACTTGCGTTTTTATTCAGTTCATTCGTGTATGCATGTTAACATCAGACAAAGTTGACAGCACAAATAAAAATGCTTGAAATCACTTTTGAACAACTTATTTTGATTGCCATGGTTAGCCTATGTCAAGAGTAATAATGCGTATGCTCCACAAAACAATCTCTCTTCTCCAAAAGTAACACAACCTTTAAATGACCATGCCAGTATTGCTGCTTGCATTTCAGCAGCAGCAAAGGCATCTATTTAGGCTTGTTTGTTCATATTCAATGGCAAAGTTTGACATATGGGCTCCACTTTTGAATGGGATGGTCTGACTATTTGTTACATACTAATATTTAACTCATACTATAATTGCTATGCAGCATAGAGTATCCCTGTGTTAAAATATGGTGCATATATACGGCACAGTCATTTGCCAACCAGCAAACCATGACAACTATAGAACACATCTGGTTAAAGCAGCCGTGAGGGACCACTTCAAGAAATTTGGGGCAAATAATCAAGAATATGGAACAAAATAAGCCCATTGCATGCCTCGTGGCAACATAATTTGTCTTATGACAAAACTCGATTGATTGAAACAGAAAATGGTTAACTCTGGTTACCACTCATGTGCTGATCGCAGGTAAGGTAAGCAATTACTTGGCCCACAGGAGGCTTACTGGTTTCTTCCTGCTCCCCCAGGACACAAAGTCAGTACCTTTTGCATGGTCTGCTGACAGACAGTCATCCCACTCATCCCCCAAATACAAATATAAATCATGCCCACCAACCGACAAGATTAAAATGAGAAACCAGTAAGAGGTGTGCATGACAAACATCTCCAGAGGGCAGAATGTCGCCATCAAACACTTCTGTAATAGCTGCGTCAGGTCTGTCCCAAAGCTCTGTATGGCAGCATCAGGATGGCCTTGTCGGGTAGCCTGGTGCGTTAGACACTCGAAAGGCTTAGATTTATCGTTGTCGAGCACCACCATGAACCAAAAAATGGCTAATCGAGGGTTTTACAGGGCAAAAGGGGCGGTAAAAATAAGTTCCGTGCTTCAAATTGTCTCCTTCATTCCCTGTGAATTGTTCACTCTTGGGTGCATATCAAACATGTTTAGGCGGCTGGCGAATTAATCTAATTTGTGTATGAAATGCGTACAAGGTTTGCAGTTGGAGAATGTTGCAGAGAAACTGGTCAACATTGTAAGCAACAGATGACACCTCTAAAGGCAATCTAAAAGAAAGGAAGAATGAAGTGGTATCACATTCGTATGATACCAAGAAAAATAACAATAGTTAAACAGATATAAAGACTGCCACTTTTCTGGCAACATTTTGCAATCAGCTGATTTGACTTAATCTGTTAACTTTAATATGTTAACTTAAATCTGTTAACATGAGTGCTCGAATGGTGATATTCATCTTGTAAATTTAATATTAAAAGCATTTCTTGAACTTTTTGTAAAATTCAAGAAACATGTGCAATGCCGAAGAAAACTGGATCTAGAAAATCGTATACTTTGCCGCCAAGGTTATCAGTGGCTGAAAAAACCGAGCACAGTTTCAAAGTTTTTCAAGGAAATCAACTAGCTTTTAGCGTCTCAACGGATATCACGTCATCGGGTTTGTTTAGTTTGCAAAGTACTCACAACCGGCTTACCTTAAACATTCAGCGCATCACTGCTGGAGTACTCCAAGATAGATCGACGAGTTGGAGGGTAGATTTACACTTTAATCTCTCGGATATGGACGACGTTTACTACAATGGTGTTTCAAGGGCGATAATTATGTTGTCGGCAATATTACACTTCGCACGTCAAAGCGCTTCAGAAACCTTTGGGAGACCCCAAATATCTTGCAAGCCGGTTGGGGAAACTTGTGATTTTCCTAGCTTTCCTAACCCTGTCAAGCCTCTCACCATGCAGGTGCAGGCTGGAATGCCTCCGGCTTCTCATACGCGTAACTTAACCATTAAACTGCCGGTATCACTGCACTTGTCATTGTAGCACCGATATTAAAAGGGGAATGCGCATCTCCTCCAAAGCCACAGACCTATACCACTATCGTCAAAAGGTCTCATGTGATCAAATGTACCAAATTCTTACAATGCCTCCTCGAAAATCATGAACCAATAGCACTTTAAATAAGTTGTCCAAGACATTTGAAAATGTCACATGTAAACAAATGTAACCCAGTTCCTTGCAGACTTTTTTAATGGCTATCTGGGGGGGGGGGGGGGGGCAGCATTGGGCTGCTACCTTTTTTGAATATGGAAGAAAGGTTCGCGTTTTGGTGACCTTGTATTGGTTTTTTAGCGAGCCCGGTGATCGTTGAGCAGCCGCCATCAGTAGTGGTCATCAGCATCGGTGACGTGTTCATCATCAAGTGTCGCGCCGTGGGGAAGCCCACGCCGGAGATCACCTGGCGACGAAACTGGAACCATGTGCCCTCAAAGTGTCGCCAAGAGAGGTGCGTCCTAGTTGAGTTATCAGGCATTTTGTTTCGGCGGAATGTGCTTTATCTCCGTTGATCATTCCGAGCCCAGCACCACAACCGTTGCTCGGATGGGTTGCACTAATAAATTTGGTATTTCAAATTATAGGCCGCCCTTGACGAGCAGCTCGCATGCTTGCAATGCATGTAAAAAATGGACATTGTGGGGGTTATACGTATATCTGTATATATATATATATATATATATATATATATATATATATATATATATGACGAAAGTACGGTATTCTCTCGTGTGTGACTGACTGTCTAACATTTCGGAGTCGTGTTACAAGCGTAAGTCGCCGTCCGAATAACTGTAAATTTTGTCAAGACTGCGGTACTACCATTAATCCTGTTTAAATTATGACAGGACAAGTTCTATCGTGTGTGATGCACTTTGTCCCTTTTGTTGAAGTGATTGTCATGAATAGCTGATAAGTTCCGGCCAAGATGCGACAAACACTTCTTTAAGACAGCAAACATGACAGCTGCAGCGCATTTCATATTCATGTAAATTATGCACGAAGCATAAGCTTTGTTTTAGCCTTACTTCGTTACGGCTTGAAAAGGAGTGATACAACACCAGTGACGGATGTTGAGAAGCCTATTCACTTTTGCAACAGGTTTGGTGATTGCATAGCCACCGGTTTTGCAAACAACATCAAAGCCTGAGTTGCAATGGATTAAGAAGAACTTGCCCACCCCTGGCCACAGGGGCCGTGACTCGGCCGAGCGCCCATTGTTCAGCCACGGTTCGCATGGGCGGTGACCTGTGCCCATGGTCGGTGACCTGTGCTCATGGGCTAGTGACTGGTACACACAACAACTATGTTTGGTTGGTGCTGACCGGCAAGTCTGACTCTGGACATGGGCATGACCGCGGCCAATCTGTCCGTGCAGCCGAGACGGCCGGGGCACACTGACCTGCCCGGACGCGTCGGTCGGCCGACCAAGGCGCCTACTCGTGCGAGGCCATCAACACTCGCGGCGTGGTGTTCGCCATACCCGACACCAACGTGGTGGTGACCAACGGCGGCCTCTGCCAGCCGCCTCAGTTCAACAATGCTGCTCTCACCAACGACGACTGCCAGAACTGTTTCTGCTTCGGCGCTACAAGCACCTGCTACAGCTCGGTCCCTCAATGCGTTCACGGTAACATTGGTGACCGCTGCAGTCCCTGCCACGCAACAGTCATGTCGGTTGTCATGCCGATGGTCTGATAGCTCGCTCTGGTGGGCCTTGATGCTCTGATAGCTCGCTCTGGGGGCCTTGGCTCTGATAGCTCGCTGGTGGGCCTTGATGCTCTGATAGCTCGCTCTGTTGGGCCTACATGCTCTGATAGCTCGCTCTGGTGGGCCTTGATGCTCTGATAGCTCGCTCTGGTGGGCCTACATGCTCTGATAGCTCGCTCTGGGCCTACATGCTCTGATAGCTCGCTCTGTTGGGCCTACTTAGCGTACAGTGGGCATCACCTCCTCCTAAGGCTCTTACTACACCTCTACTCTACTACTACACCTCCTCCACCTCCTCCTAAGGCTCTTAGGATGATAGAGACGGAGAGTGAAAGAAATAGCCCTTTTTAATCCTAGTGGTTAGGAGTTTCAGAGGATGCTCACGTCACGTGTTTCTTGTATTACGCCTGTTCGATGCGTAGGTCAAATTTAGGTGAGGCCCTGCCCGCCTACTATGTCGATCAGCCGCTCCGTCTCGTTCCCAACAGCGGCAGGACCTGAGCGCCAGGGACGTCAGGCTGGTATCATCTCCGGCCAGGGGGCGTCTCCCTGGGGACGTTGCAGCGGCCTCGTCCGCTCCGTACTCCGGCCCGCAAGGGGAGATTTTGGTGAGCGGTGGTGCCGTCGTCCCATCGTGGGCTGAGCTGGGCTGAGCTGAGCAGAGCTGGGGTTTGCCCTCTGGGATTAGATGGTGAGCGGTGGTGCCGTCGTCCCATCGTGGGCTGAGCTGGGCTGAGCTGAGCACAGCTGGGGTTTGCCCCTGGGATTAGCCTGCGCCGCGCGGCCAAGTCGAACAGCCTGTCCGAAAGCCACGGCTGTTCAAAGGGATGCACAGCAAATGCTTATTTCACTACATAGTAACTCATAGTAACTACACCAGTAATTGACCGGTGTACGTCGTCGTCTTAAGTGCAACATCATGACCAGTTAAGTGTCGGTTGCCAGTGCTGATTTGCATCATTCTGAAGTGCATGAACTCAACGTGCATTGAAAATAGAGACTTTGCTTTCACTACGCACATTTTAGGTCTCCAGATGTAAGTAAATCAATACATACCTTGGCAATGGGCAATCATGTTCATTGTAGTTTTATCTGTTTTGTGACAGTCCACACGATCATGTTGGTGCCACACAGCCGTGCTTACTTCACTGAGAAGATCCTTCAATTGACGGTGAAAATGTCGAAACAAGTCTCCAAGCCACGAGCCAAACCATGATTCCCTCGAATACCGTTTGCACTTACACGT